TAATCCCAGCACTTTGGGAGGCTGAGGCGGGTAGATCACCTGAGGTCAGGAGCTCGAGACCAGCCTGGCCAGCATGGTGAAACCTCATCTCTACTAAAAATACAAAAAATTATCCAGGCATTGTGGCAGATGCCTGTAATCCTGGCTACTTGGGAGGCTAAGACAGGAGAATCATCTGAACTCAGGAGGCACTATAAGGTTTTTTTTTTTTTTTGAAACTGAAAGATTTGGCGCTTTTCTTATTCCTAGGGTAGTAAAGGTAATTTTCATGGAAAAGAATAGTCAGTGTAAAGGACTGAAGAGGACAACAGTCATGGGGATTGTTTAAAACAGGCAGCCACATTTGATTTCAGAGAGTTTTGCAAATAGAGAATTCTGGATGTAAGCGATGACTGTGTAACCTACCAGCTATGTTTCCTGAGGGAGTTACTTAAGCACTCTGAGCTCTCTCCCCTCATCTGCAAAGGGGAACAATAGCACGCACACCACAGCGTTCTTCATTCATTCCCCAAACCTTTATTTAGTGCTTGCAAGTCCGGGTTCTGTTTTATACTGGAGACACAACAATGCCTATTCTTACTGAATTTCTGATCTCATGGGGAAACCAAACAAACAAGTGAATCTATAGTATAGTTATATGGGTGATAGAAAAATATAAAGCAGGTTAAGGAAAACAGGGCATACTTGTGGAGGTGGTCAGAAAAAAAAAAAAACCTGTCTAATAAGGTGACATTTAACAGAGACCTGACTGAAGGTCAGAAGTGAGCATTCCAGCCAGAAGAAACTGTATGTGCAAAGGTCCTGGGGCCAGAGCATGTCTGATGTGTTCAATGAGCAGGAACGAGCCAGAATCAGGAACAAAGGTGGCAAGGAGGCAGTGCTGGATGCAGACCATATAAAGAATTGTAGGCCTTTATAAGGTCTTTGGTTTTTATTTTCAGTGAGCTGAGGGCCTTTAGAGAGTTTTGAGCAGAAATGTGGCATAATCTAACTTAGGTTTTGAAAAGACCACTGGCTGCTGTGTTGAGAAGAGACTAAAGAGGAAGTAGGGCTGAAGGTTAGAGACTGGTAGGATGTTTCTGCAGTCGCTACACTGAGAGGTGCTGATACTAGTGATGGAAGCAGCGAGAACTAGTCCGATCCGGGCATGTGCTGAAGGTGGAGCCCGCCTGATTGGCTGATGGACTGGATATGTGGTGTTAGAGAAGGAGGGTGTGGAGGAAACCAGATGAGTGATAAATGTGAAACATTTGGCACATGGTAGACTCTCAGTAAATGGTAACTGCCAACATGTTTACATTTGGGGAAACTGAAGCTGGAAAGATGAGTCGATGTGTTCAAGCCCCTAAACAGCAATGAGAGGCAAAGCAGATAATAGAGTAGACAAATAATAGCAGTGACAGTGAGCCAGTTCAGTGTAAACTTGGCCCCAAGTGGGCCAGTTCCCTCCCTTGTGCCCCCATTACCTGCAGTCTAGCACAGATCCTTAGACAAAGAACCAAATATCAGCCCTTTTCCCACCTCACAAGTGTCCTGTCTCGTAATCTCCTTCCCCTTCCCTCTCTAATCCAATTAAAGAACGAGCTTTTATGGGTGAGCAGAACGATATCATTCTGTCAGTCACTGACCTAGGGAGAGCTGACCAAACCTCCGCCTGAGTCCATGGGAACACATCTCCCACTCACTTGGCCGGCCCCAGCTTGTCCTGAATAACTTGAAGAGAACTGGGGACTCTTTGTTCCTGTGCCCTGCAGGCAGGTGGCATTAACTGTGAGCAATAAATTGTGTATTGAAATATAAATTAAATTGCAGTATATTGCAAAAAGCCACATAACTTTAGGCCTTGATCAAGCATTCTTAGATGCCCCTGTTGCAAAGAAAGTTTTCCAAGTAGAATGGGAGGCATACTTTCCAGATTGATGATTAAAGGAAATGCGTGTGCTAGAATCAGCTTGGGAGATCTGAATAACTTAAACCTCTCCGTACCTTCAAAGGTGCTATCATTTCCACTTGGCTATATTTAGTTTTCTTCGCTTTTTGGAAAAGAGATGAGGCAGCTCCAGTCTGTGTCTCCCTTGGCTTTCCCCAGACACCGTAAATGATATTGGCAGCATCCCAGCCCCACCGCTCACAGCGCGAAAACCTATTCCTCCTTCTCTTGCCACGTTTAATCAACTTTATCTAGAACAATTTCTTGTGCAGTGGCAAAACACAGCACTTACATAACATACTATTTCAGAAGCACTGTTCTCTTGGGCTCTGAAGCACAGCCTGGTTTCTTTAGTGCTCTGATTTAGGGAGTGTTCTGCCTCGGAGAAGAGAGGGTCCTGATACCGAGATTATAAAGGTAGCAAGAGCCTCTGTAAAGAAGTCATATCCCACTAGCCAAAAGAAATCCAGTGGTCAAACACAGTCCTCTAGAAATAGCCAGGGGAAGGCATTTTATTATTGTTATTACTGGAGGCAGCTAGAGGCAAAATGCAGGTTCTTCGAGGCCTTCCACCTTGCCATTTCATCCATTCTATCTAGAGACACGACAAACTGACCGTTTATGCTCATCTGAGGCTGTAACCAATAGAGGGCCAGAACCTCACTCATCTAGACTATTAATCGCAAGGGGAGTCACGGAGGAAGCAGGGTCCAGGCGTAGGTCCAAAGACAGCAATAAGAGCCGGTCATTCCAAAAGGCAGGACCTGGGAGCCAAGGTCAAGGCAAGGTCACAGCTTTAAAGAACCAGCTCTAAATAGAACAGCTCTGCTCCAGAAATCAAGCCAACAAAGCTAGCTCTTCAGTGCTTGCCTAAAATACATTCTGATAATCCACCTGCTGTATGCAGGGTTTCTTGGTTTCAGCACCATTGACATTATGGGCTGGATGCTTTGTTGTGGTACTATCCTGTGCACTGTAGGATGTTTAGCAGCATTTTTGGCCCCTATCCAGCAGCTTCCAGTAGTAACTCACCCTCCACCCCAGTTGTGACAATCAAAAAGGTCTCCAGACATTGCCAAATGTCCCCTGGGGGTAACATTGCCCCCTACTGACAACTACTAGTCTACGATGACCAACCTTTCTAGTTTTCCAGGGATCAATGGGGTTCCCAGGATGCAGGCCTTTCAATTTAAAATCCAGGTGGTCCTCAGTCCACCCTAACTCTGGCCCTAACTTACCCCTTCTGCTGTTAGAACCTCCCATCTCTCAGAGCATCTCACACTTGAATAGGCATTGTCTGGGATCTTATTCAAATGCAGATGCTGACTTCAGTGGTGCAGTAAGAAGTCAGAGACCCTGCATCTGTAACAAGCTCCCAGGTCTGCAGACCACAGGAGGAACAGCAAAGACCTAGACTGGAAAGCCATCTCTTCCACTGGAACCCAGGCTGTCTGCAGGGCTGATTCTACAGGGATGCCCCTGGTTGTTGGAGTGGCCCTTCTCAACCCTGGCTGCACATCAGAGTCAGCTGCAGAGCTTTTAAAAATACAGGTGTCTGGGTCCTCCAAGGCTCTGATTTAATTGGCCTGGAATGAGATCCAGCTTGGTCGGTCTTTAAGGTCCCCAGGTGATTGTGATATAGAGCCAAGACTGAGGACTCTTCAATCTGAAGTCTTGGAAGCAGGCACAGCACTTACGCATCTGGAAAGAGACTTCCAAATAGAAGTGCTGCCCAAGGCAGAGGCCTTCCCAGCCTCTTGGTCTTCAAGGTCCAGAGCCAGTTGCTGCAGATCCAGCACAGGTGTGAGAGTTCCTCTACAGATGATGGGCATGGCTCAATGCACCTACACCTTCGAGCCAGTGGGGAGTCAGGGGCCCTGCTCTCTGCTCTGGTGCATGCCCATCCACAGGCACTCCACGCTCCTGCAAACTGCTGTTCCGTACAGCAGACTAAAATGTATTACCCTCTGCACAAGAATTGTTGGCCATGAAGCTGTTTCCTTCAATAACTTCCACAGAAAGGAGAAGTCTTTGGCAAAAGCCAGAAATTGAGAATGAGAGCAGTAAAGACATTCAGGTCTGTGGAGGTTCATAGAGTCTGTTCCCTGTGGCTGGGGATGGAGGAATGAGTCACCCATTCACCTGCAGGGTCTGCCAGCTGTCGGCTCATGCAGGCATCTGGCTCCGACCGGGTAGCAGCGAGTGCACACCTGGGCTCAGCCTACAGAGAAACTGCCCATTGCTCTCTAGAATCCTGGACAGTGGGAAATGGGAGTTAGAGAGAGAAAGTGAGCCAGAGCCACAAGATAGAACTCACCATCCTCAGCCCAGATGGTAATTGGAGGGGAGCCAGGACCACTCCCCATCCTCCAAATGCCATTCTCGTTGGCTTGTCCCCAGGACCTAGAAATCTGACATCAGTGACTGGTTTCCATTGAGAGAACAATCATTTGGCACAGAGGTCTTCTAAATCACAAACAGAGGTTTGGAGATAGTTGAATGCCTTTGGTAGAAACTGGTTTCAACAGCTTCCTTCTCTTAAATAGAAAAATCATGATATCAGATTGGAGAGAAAATGTGGAGTGCTACAATGTTTATGTAGTTGACAATTTTGTCTGAGTGTGGCCCATGGTCTAGGTGAGACACTTCTTATTCGACAAGGGGATCGCGTGTGGGATGGGGGCCTTGGACTTCAGCACCCCACATGTTCCATTTTGGGATGATCCCAGCCCAAATCAAAGCCACCGTTAAAACCCCTTGATCCTTCTTTGCCACAAAAATCACATCTTTTCCATGGCATTTCTTTTACAACAGCAAAAGAACTGTTTGGAAGGTTTGACACATTTTCTCCAGTAAGACTTCAGTGAATATTAAATTTCTAGCACATTCTTTACCTAAGAAGCAGGACAGCTTATCCCCAATTGACTCTTCGTTCCACTTGCCCCTTACCTTTGCTGTGTTCCTGGTGGCTTCCAGGCTACTGTGGGAAGGATGGGGAAACTTGGGGAAAGGTAAAGTAGATACTGTCTCAAGTCTTGATGCCAGGCCCGTGTGTGTTTTCTCCTGCCAGTCAAGAAAGAGGCGGTACTGATCCAAGCCGGCGAGTACATGGGTCAGCTGCTGGAACAAGCGTCCCTGCACTTCTTTGTCACAGCTCGCATCAATGAGACCAGGGATGTTCTGGCTAAGCAAAAGTCCACCGTGCTGACCATCCCTAAGCTCATCATCAAGGTCAGTCTTAGCGTCTCATCCTGGAACAGAGAGAAAGGCACACAGACTTACTGTTCATGTGTGCATGTGTGTGCTTGTGTGTGTGTGTGAATGAATGTCCTGCTCAAAAAAAAAAAAAAAAAAAAACAGTGCTAGGATCCTCCTGTTCTTTGAAAGAAGTAAACTGCCCTATATATAGACACATACATATAACACTTTTCTCTCCTCTCCAGATTTAAATATATAGATGTGGTTGCAGATATAAATATAACCTGTGGGTATAAACACACTTGTGGAGGAAGATAAAGATGTGTAATGGCTACAGATACTTAGAACTTTCATTGTCTCCAGAATAAAGTGGGTCAGGCATGCCATAAGAGGTAGATAAACTGCCTGCAACATTTTGCACAGTAATTTTGTTTATGGAGGTATAATTGTGGACAGTAGATCGCACAGATCAAAATATACAGCTTGATGATGATTTTGTATGTGTGTGTGCCTTGCAACCACGAGCCAGATGAAGAAATGGAGGATTTCAAACACCCCCAGAAAGTTCCCTCATGCCTTTTCTAGCCAATAACCCCCTGGACCATCACCAAGATAATAACTTTTCTGACTTCTGTCACCATAGGTTTTTTGCATGTTTGACCAGTAGTTTTCATGGTGCCTCTCCAGTGATCACCAGAAATCTCTGCCCAAGTGGCTCAGGAGACTTGGCAGAGGAAGGCCGAGGGTGGATGAGAGTGGGAGACAAATGTGGGAGCCCATGTGCTCCTACTTCTCAGACTCACCACTGTAGTTTCTGGGGGTTCTGTGGTTAAATCCATGAGACACCTTCCTGCCCTTGAAGCAGGAACCCAGGCCTCTGGCAGGGACCCTGAGAAGTGATATCTCATGCAGCCCTTATCCAGGGCACATAGAGCCCTTCCCTAGTCTCTGGAGAACAATCTTCTTGAAGTGATTGAGAGCAATTAGCACAGATCCTGCTAAACTACATTGCTCTAAAGTGGTAGATAAATCAAAGCTTTATAAAGTTGATCATATTTTAATGGTCCTAGAGGTGGGCAGGGTGAGGGTAGTCCTTGCTTCTCATGAATCCTTTGCTGTGAATCATTTGGAAAGCTAATGGCTGCTGTGCAGCCTTCAGCATGGCAGTGTTCCTTGGGTAACTACTGGGCTCCAGACACTGTTTTTAAAGCACTTTACATGGGTGCATTTTCAACCACCAACAACCCCGCAAGGTAAAGAGTATTGGCATCCCTTTACAGATGAGAAAACTGAAGCACAGAGAGGTTCTATAGCTCCTCCAAGGCCATACAGCCAGCAAACGGTGGAGCTGGGCTTCCAACCCCAGCAGGCTGGCTGCAAAAGCAGCGCTGGGAACCAGCTCCTTCAACTATTCTTATGGTCTGGTCCTGTGTGATTGACACAGTGAGACACCCCAAGGCAAGGCCCATCCAAGCTCACAGGCATGTAATGCCCTTCAGGGAGCAGAACACCAGGCCGTTCTTTTCTACAAAGGCCTGCATTGTCATGTCTCTGGTTCCTTCGCCTCTGTCACGGCCCACAGCCCACCATGGCATTATCTGCACAGGAAGGTGGAAAAGAAAGAATGAAAATGAGGATGTGCAGGGTTGGCAGGCAAAGTCAGAAACAAATGCAAAATGGAGAAGTGGGGATTACGGTTGCTGCAGAGATATCATCATCCAAGAGAACGTGAAGTTAATTGCTTGAGGTGCAGGATGCCCTAACCCGGAAGTTGTTCTTCACAGCTGGCTCTTCCTACAGACATGTGGCAGCCCCTGCTGCAGGCCTGTCCCAGCCACTTGGTGGAAGCAGCTTTTGCTACCCTTGTGGGCCGTTGAGCAGGTTTCATTTATGAGCTCAACCCTGAACCTTCCCCACCAGCAGCAAGGCCTGCGTGTGTACCTAATTATGAAGTGACGGCCTGTCCCTGCAAAGGTCTCAGGAGAGAGCCTTCCCGAGCTGTGAAGTGCTCAAACCACAGCAGAAAATAGAATTTAATTGCACCACTGATAATAAACCGGATGTATGAAGGAAACTGATAACTTTCATCTTTTAGGCACTATTAATTTGAAGGATTATTTGTTAGTTATCTTCTGGGCTTACTTAAAGAGCAGTTTAATTCCCAAGGAGCACAATCAGAATACCTTATCCCACAAGTTAGCAGACCTGGGCATGGAGAGAGTACTTTAAACGGAGAGTTGTTTTGTTTTGTGTTTCCTTCCACAAAGGAATCAGAGATGCTGCTCCTGGAGGAAACTTATTTAGAAGTAGGGACATTAGATAGGGAAGAGAGCATGAAACAGATGGAAATTCTGGCTTCTGTCCATGCCAAGTTTGTTCAAAAAGGTGGAATGGGGCATCATCCCATAAACTGCTCTTTAACCATTAGCCCTACTAACTCTAAGGATAACCTAAATCCACATTGAGTAGAAGTGCTCCTGGGTAAAGCTCCCATACCCTAAGGACCACCCAGGAGTCACGGAGCTGTGAGAGGGCCTGGGTGCAGAAGCTCTGGTCTGTGGACTGGGGACCTGCCTAGCTTCCCGGAGATGTGAAATGCAGAGTCACAGCAGGGGAGGGGAGGAGGAAGGGGAAGGGAGGGAGAGGAGAGAAGAACAGAGGGGAGAGGAGAGAACAGAGGAGAAAAGGAGGGAGGGAGGGGAGGAGAGGATGGAGAGGAGAAAAAGAGGAAAGAAAAGAGGAGGGCACAGGAGGGAAGAGGAGAGAACAGAAAAGAAGAGGAAGGGACAGGAGGGAAAAAAGAGGGAGAATGGAGAGGAGAAGAGAAAAAAAAGGGGAGAGGACAGTAATAAGAAAACTTAAAGTTGAAATATTCCAAAGGAGGCCTGGGGGAGGAGTCAGATAAATTGTATAAAACAAAACTCGATTGTTGAGTTATTTTTTCTCCTTCCTTCCTTCCTTCCTTCCTTCCTTCCTTCCTTCCTTCCTTCTTTCCTTTCTTTCTATTTTTATTTTAGGTTTGAGGGTACGTATGAAGGTTTGTTATGTAGATACACATGTGTCACAGGGGTTTGGTGTACATATTATTACATCATCCAGGCATTAAGCCCAGTACCCAGTAGTTACCTTTTCTGTTCCTCTCCCTCCTCCCACCCTCCTCACTCAAGTAGACCCCAGTGTCTATTGTTTCCTTCTGTGTGTTCATAAGTTCTCATCATTTAGCTCCCACTTGTAAGTGAGAACATGTGGTATTATGTTTTCTGTTCCTGCATTAGTTTGCTAAGAATTATAGCTTCCATGAGCTCTTTTTGTTTTTTTCATATGCTTATTGGCCATGTGTATGCTCATGTCCCTTGCCCACTTTTTAATGGGGTTGTTTTTTTTCCTGTAAACATGTTCAAGTTCCTTATAGATGCTGGATATTGGCAACATCACCAATCATCAGAGAAATGCAAATCAAAGCCACCATGAGATACTATCTCATACCAGTCAGAATGGCTATAATTAAAAAGTCAAAAAATAACAGGTACTGGTGGGGTTGTGGAGAAAAAGGAACACTTATACATGGTTAGTGGGAGTGTAAACTAGTTCAGTCCTTGTGGAAAACAGTGTAGCGATTCCTGAAAAAACTAAATACAGAAATACCATTTGACCCAGCAATCCCATTACTGGGTATATACCCAAAAGGAATATAAATCATTCTCTCATAAAGATACATGCACATATATGTTTATTGCAGCACTATTCACAATATCATACACATGGAATCAACCTAAATGCCCATCAATGGTAGACTGGACACAATGCAGCCACAGCTATAAAAAAGGATGAGGACATGTCCTTTGCAGGAACACAAATGGAGCCAGAGGCCATTATCTTAGCAAACTAACACAGGAAGAGAAAACTGAATACTGCATGTTCTCGCTTATAAGTGGAAGCTAAAAGATGGGAACATATGGATATATAGAGGGAAACAACACACACAGGGTCCTGTTGGAGAATGGAGGGTGGGAGGAGGGAGAGGATCAGGAAAAATAACTAATGGGTACTAGGTTTAATGTCTTTGTGACAAAATAATCTGTACAACCCTCATGACACAAATTCACCTATACAACAAACCTGCACATGTACCTTGAACTTAAAATAAAAGGTTTTTAAACAATGAGGACTTGGAAAGGGAGCTAAATGCAGTAAAAGTACAAAACCACAATGGCTCAGAGGTCCAGAATTACATAGGACATATTTCTCTAAATTCTAAGAAAATGCTTACACCCTTTTTCAACCTCTTTGAGCCTGGATGGACACACAACTGACTGAGCCTCAAGGTTGCTGCGGGCAAATGTGCCAGGCACAGGGTGCAATTATGTGAGAGACAGAGAGGAGACCACAGCCCTTCCTACTCAGCTCAGTCACGAGAAGGGTTGGGACCAGCCCCTGGTGATTATGATGACAGCAGCTATGATTTATTAAGCACTACATTATTAAACGCCTTTCTTCTGTGATCTTATTTAACCCTCTCTACCATCCTACAAGGAGGACGTTACTATAACCTCTGTTTTACTGATTAGAAAACTGAGAGGACCAGAGAAGGCAGTGCTTTGTAGCACAGTGGTCAGAACATGGGCTCTGGAAACAAACTATCTGAGTTTAAAGCTTGTTTTCTGAACATCATAACTGTGTAAGCCTGGACAGATCATTTCACCTCTCTTGGCTTCTGCGTTCTCATCTGTAAGTCAAAAGCAATGGTAACTCTCCTCCTGGGGTCTTTGTGAGTATGTTATGAGTCAATAGATGCCTGAGTCACAGTGCACACCTATATATGTTGGTTGCTGCTGTTATTGCCATTATTGCTGTTTATTAGTAACTGGCCCGTGATCACGTGCCTACTGAGGGAAGCAGAGACACTTCTGGCCCAGGTCTTCCTGACTGTGCTGGTCTTCCAGTCTGTGCTGGCAGCTGTTGGGCTACAGTGGAACTATCACACAAAGCAGAGGCGGTCATTGACTTTGCAGAGAGTTTTGTATTCAAGGGAG